CCCCCCCCCCCCCCCCCCCCCCCCCAAAAAAAAAAAAAATCCTATGTATTTTGATCAGGTAGATGAATGAGATCTAATTTATACATTTCTAAGCATACCGTGTATAAGACTGGCAAACTGAATTTTCTTTTCTCTACTATTTTAAAACCTTATCAGAAATAGATTAGGTAAAGCTTGGATTTTAACCATACAATTGCATGGTAACAACATGAGAGCCCAAGAGGAAAAACACAAAGGAGAAAGAGAAAAACAGATCAGGGAAAATTTGAAATTTACACTCTTGTGAAATGGATACAAACCTCGAGCTACAGAGGAAATTAAAGAAAAATTACACTGCTCTGTACACTAAGAATGGCTGACTGACAGATAACTGCCAGTGGATTTAGTGCTTTCATGATGAAGTCCCTCAGGATTCTCTCTCTGGTCAGAGCAGTCAACTGACTTGAACCTTCCTTTTTCTCTTCTCCTTTGACACGTGCAGTTTTTGACCAGCTACTCATCCTCCTTACTGATATAAAGACCACAGTAAAAGTGTGAGTTTCCTTAAATTCTCAAGCAAGACCCTTGGCCTTTTCTTTAGTATGATTGGCTGAGCACTATTAATTTAAGTTAATCATTATATGTTAGTGATTATTTCTAACAACAATCCCTATTTATTGTGCCTATTACACTGAAGCAAAATCTCTCAATGGGTCTTTGCAAAGTTTGTTTATTATGCAATAACTTTCTTCTAAGCCTTAAATGCATGTGTTTGGTAATGATTGTTTCAATATATATGACTGTTTCAATACAGCTTCAACGCTGCCTGGACCAGATGCTGAATGCAAAAGTCTTGAAACGTCCAGAAAATTATTCACATTACAGAATGAGCTGCTCAACTTTTTCCTTCCCTTGACCTGTCCTTGGGATGCCCTTCCAAAGCTGGTACATTTCTTAATATGAACTCTTTCATTCCGCTTAGAGATCAAGAGCAAGGAGTGGTAAGAGGGCTGCAGTCAAGAATGAAGACCCAGGAATAAGAATTAACTTTAAATTAGAAGGATGAAGTGCTTCATGGCTGAGAGAAAAAGAAAAGGTAACATTACATCTAATAAACAGATTGGTATAAAAGTAATGAACCATAAAACATACTGAGAAATACTGTTCAGCTTCAAGTTGGTCTTGAAGCTCTTTCATTTGTCCATCTGCATCTTGACGTTCTCTAGAAAGTAATAAAATACATCAAAGAAAAGATATGAAGATTCCAAACAATAGAATAGAAATGGCTGCATTCACATTCTTTATATTCTGCAGTTCAACCTGAGTCTTTGTCAGTTTAATACAGTTAGCATACTAGCTACAACAGTGTCACTGATAAAGCAAACAGCCACTGACAGTATGTTATTTCCATGTAAAAACATCACTGATCTGACAGATTGTTTTGGGTTTCTTGTTTGCTAGAAGTCTCTGAGAACTTCTGTATTCTTTGTCAGGCATCATTTCTTGAATTCACCTATTAAAATAACTCAGAAAGTCACTTAGTCATATAAAAAAAAAAGATCAGTAAGGTAGCAGAAAAGATTTCCACCATTATTTTGTTATGGTAATTGCCACATTCAGCTTTCTACGTGATTAACTGCATCTTGCTTGAAAAAAAGATGAACCAAAACATAAACCTCCAGAAGTCATAGAAGAGCAAAGAGTAAGTTACACGTTATCTACACACTAAACTTTTTTTTTTCAGTCACAAGAATGTTCTTTGTGTAATTTTTTAAATAGTTATTATTTAAATAGTCAAATTATTCATTGTAAGAACCTGAAGGATTGCTAGGATTTAACACAATTCCTGTCTATCTGAAGGCTAGCAGGTTGATTAAACACCCTTAATATAGGATATTTCCACTGCTTACGCTTCACAGCTCTGTATTGGCATTACTGGCCAACTCTGATAACCTCTCTTAGACTGTCAATACTTTTTGCAATAAATCAATTACCTAAACATTCTGCTAAATCAATGGTTCTTATCTCCTCCAATTATTCTGTTCTCCTCCCCTCCCCCCCCATTTTCTTTTACACTTTCTTCTCTTATTTTAGGTTTTCAGCACAAATCTTCAAGATCCATGTGGCTCTTGGCTTTTAGAAAAAGAAAACTACCAATCAGCAATACTTTAAAAAGAGTAAAATAGAGCAACTCTGCTTACTTGCGGAGTTCATTATTTTGTTTCTCCAGACTTAATTTGATTTCCTGAAGATGGTTATTCTCCTGTTTTAGCTGCTTCTCTGACATTTTTAAGGTGTTGACCTGTTGTGTTTGCATCTTGAGGTCATTTTGAGTGAGACAACGCTTTTGTGTTTCTTGCTCTATTTTTAAAGTCAGGTTTTTAACCTACAAAACAAACAGAAACATGAGGGTTATGAATCTACATAGGGAAGTAACATGCAAACAATGTTTCTTATTGACACTTCCTATATAATTTGCTCCAAATGTAATACCTCCTATTTATTTCCCTGGAAAGTATAACACATACAGAGAGTAAAATCATACTATACAATAGAGGAAATTCTCAGCTACTACTTTTCAACATCACCACCACCACTAGCTATGAATTTTTGCCAGTGATGAACAAGAGCCTGCATATACATTCATAAACATCTGCACTAGTGGAGGTGACTGACTGTTTCACAGCTGCTACAATGGCATTGTTGGTAGGAAAATGCTACCCATGCTGTCCATCTTTCATCGGCCCAAACAGATGTAAGTCAGAACATGTCAAATCTGGACTATATACAGTATGTGTGGTTATGTAGTGGGACAGTCCAGCTAAGACTGGCAATGTGTTCCATGGTCTTCAAAGTGGTACAGAGCCTGGAGTTATCATGCAGGAGAAAGATTGTCTTCTCTGACCTGACTCTGTAAGTTCGAGCTGTCAGCTTAGTCAATGTTGCAATGTTAAGGGCAGAGGTGATGGTCTGTCTGTATTCCAGGAAATCCAGAAGTATCATCGCTTTCCTATCCCAAAAGACAGGGCACATCACTTTACCCACTGAGGGCTGCATCTTGAACTTTTTTTTCTATGAGAAATTCACATGTTGCCTCACCATGGACTGTTGTTTTGACTCTCACTTGTTGCATGACACCACATGTCATCACTGGTAACGATGTGATCCAGGAAGCTCTCACCTTTGGCCTTGTATTGGTTTAATAGGTCTTGACAAAGTTGCATACGGTGTTCCTTCTGCTCCTGTGTGAGCATTCATGGGATCCACCTGGTGTAAACTCTGCAATATTCCAATGCTGCCACTAATGTTTCAAATGCAGTGAAGCCAATACCCAACTCCAGACACAATTCCCTAATTGTAATCCTCAGATGAGCTGATCAAAATTCATTCTGTGTTATAACAGTTGTGCATGGCCATCTTGAATGTAGCTTAGCTTCAACATCACTGTTGCCACCGCTGAATGGTTGGCAATACCAACCATTGCCTTACAAGCTCACATCCACTGTTTGATCTCCAGAAACATTCAGTGTCAGTGAATGTCAATGAGTGCATTTTTTTCTGCATGGAGGAAATCAACGAACTTTTGCTTCATAAGCACTCCCATGTCAGATGGCATTTTGTCAGACTGCCCCCTATGCTGTCATCTGTCACATCACAGAAATGTTCAACCTCTACTGCTATACCACCAACATCCACCTATGACATCGTGGGCCAACATAATAAAATAGGAGGCATTACTTTTGGAGCAATCCTCATACATTATTGTACAATATGCACACATTTTTTAATAGATAAATCTATTTCCTGAGTAAAGTTATTAGTTCACAATAAATAACCTAGTCTTTCCATGTGTCAATTTCTTAGCATTTTACATTCCAGAATAAAAACTTTGATATCAATAATGCTGGAATACTTTAGGAAAATGAAACCACTCTGTAAAGTTGACTTTTTAAAGCTCCAAATACAAAGAAGTAAGAATTACTGCCATTTACATTCACAAACACCCTAAATACGGCTATAACAAAAGGAAAATACAAAGACATTTAAAGCTAGCTTCCACTTAAGACTTCTTTTGTGACTGCTACATACATCTTCATTTAGTTTATCCTTTTGCCTAAGGAGTTCATTTATTTTCTGCTGTGATTGTTTGAGATCACAATCCAACATGGAGCGCTGCTTTTCAGCTTCTAACAACCGATTTTCCACTTTTTGCTTCAAAGCTCTCTCTTCCAAAAGTTTCTTCTCCATTTCTGTGAAGAAAGAGATTTAAGGTCAGCCTGCAAATGAGTCAGTGTAAAACAGGGAGTTTAAAGGGGTGAGGGAGGTGAGGAAGAACATCTACCCACACTACCAATATGTAAAATGGTTGTCAGTTATGACAGAGACTGCTGAAAAGTGGTTCATTAAATTTTTCACAGTAAACTGTGAAAAAGCATCCCAGAGGATCCTTTGCACACATTTCTGCCTGAGAACTATTACTTACTCTTGAGTTTCAATATCAATTCCAGTTTATTTTCAACACATTTGAGAGGGATAAAAGAGTGGCTTTCCTCTTAAAAAAATATTTTCTATCTATAGATCAAGTATTGCTTTCACTGTGATAATCTGAAATCAATTAAAGAGTTGAAGCTGTTGAGGAATCTGATAGACCAAGTGACTCATATGGTACATCTGAATCATTTTCCTTTTTTGGAACATCTGCAAGCTCAACATTTTTGTTGATGTTCTGCATTTGGAAGGATAAGATCCGTAGGTTATTTTTTAAGCACTTGGAATAAACAAAAGTAATTTAATTCAAAAATAAGAGCCATATTCTGGAATCATTTGCTAATTATCCCTCTCTCTAGGACATTTTAATTGTTAGGAGATACACCAGAATATGCATAGTGACTACGGAAGCCTACCAAAGGCTTTACTATGTCTAACAATATCTAGTAATCTATTTAAATTTTTAAGTTGTTGACATATATTTTATTTAGAAAGAGGTTTAACAAAGGACACAGATAATCTTCTGAAAATCTTTCCAACAGTTTTAATAATATAAATTTAATAATACCCTAGCTCAGAAGACCGTAGCACAGAAAATGGATTAGTGATGTTGGCAATAGAAATTCTGTTGTACTCAAAGAGACTAAAACTGCCTGCCTTTAACCTAGAAGAACAAAAACAGGAGTACAACTGATTTACAAAGCTAATTATATTTTAAAAAGAACGGGGGAATAGAGAAAAAATAACTATGTTTAAAAATTCTATTACCTACCCTCAATAATTTATGCTTAAGTCTAACTGTGATGTCAAATACATACCTTTCATGGCTTCAGATTTTGCCTCCTCTATAGATTCATAAATCTTATTTTTGTCTGCCAATCGTGCTTTTGTGGCTTTATGTTCAGCTTCCTCTTGCTCAAGGTTCTGCTGCATAACTTTGAATTTGTATGTCATATCTATTTCCATGTTGCTCTTTTCCTGTTAAACAAGAAAAGGGCATTAAAGTGAAATATTAAATACATCAGGTTAGATAAAAAATGTCAAACAACAGTAACATGCTGCTTGGAAGTATACAGAAGACACAGCACAGATCCTAAGGTCATAGGAATTCATTTCTACTACCCATAGAAAAGCATTGATAAAATGCTCTACAAGTATGCAGTGAAATTCCCAATTTCAAAATATCATAGAATTTATTCTAAAAAATATTAGCAAAACCTTTCTTTTTTTTTTTTTTGCTTTATAATTTCTGGCAATACTGAGAGTTTAAAAAGGTCAGATTTCATAGCAAAAATGAAGTGTTACAACTGCACAATTAAGCTATACACATTGGTGTACATTACTGTAAACTTTACAAATATAATGAATTGAAATCATAAGGGAAATGGGAGTCTTCTTTCCCCACTTTTCAAACTTCCAAATCAATGAGAAAAATCCACTGAAAAACTGATGCTGAAAACAAGGCTTAATTTTTCAAAAAGACTTGGTCTCAATTAAAACAATCCCAACTGTAAGAATTTCACAGGAATGTACCACAAATGCTCTCTAATAACTGCTGTTACCTTTTCTAAATCTGTAAGTTTTTCCTGCAATTGCCTTTTCTCCATTTCTAGTTTGGCTAATGCACTCTTTCCATTTTTCACTTCTTCTTCCAGGCTCGATATTCGACCTAAAGAATGAACAAAACATTAATGAGGCTGGGTAGTCTGTGAAAAAACATGTACTGTATCTACTTACTGATAGAAAGTTCTGGTTCTAACTGTTAAGACTCTTCACAGTGGTTTTAGAAATCAGTAACATACACTTTCATCTTAAGTATCTCCCCACTTGTTTTCTCTGTAATGCATGTCCTAACTTAAATAACATTGTATAAAACAGCTCTCTAATTTAGTTTCTGTCTGAAACTCAAATAACATCACCAGAATGTGTTTTTATTTCTGAAACCTGAAAAAAGCTTAACTTCAGAACACTTGTTGCAATACCTTGTAAATCACTGATAATCTCTGATCCATGACTTCGATCTCTCCTTTCTGATTCTAGAGCTGACTGAAGATTGAGAAAGTCCTTCTCCAGTTTGAGTTTAGCATTCTCTAGTAGGCAGTTCTTATCCTGTAGTTCTCGATTATTAGCTTCTAACTGCTGGATTTGCTTTGTACTTTCAGTCTGGTTCTTCCTTAGCCTGGCTGCAGTTTCAGACTCTGATCGCAGCAAAGAATTGGCCTCATCCAACTAGGATTGATAAAAACATACTTTAGACTAAACAATTAAAATGTAACATCTACCACGGCTGTTATAAAATATTAGATTGAATAGATTAAAGAAATAAGAGGGTATTTCAAGATTACTTTTAAATATGAATACATGATAAGAAAGAACAGCTTCTAGAATTCCATTACACATTCAAACTCCCATCATTACCAATCAAATCTGAACTTCAGAAAGTGATTATTTTAAGATACATAAAGTTGGCATGCCTGTCTTTGTAGCTGATTGATTTTCTCATTGGATATTTGAGAGTTCTGATTCCTCTTTTTTAAGTCTTCAAGTTGATCTTTCAAACTGTTAACTAGAACAAAAACAATTCAGTTAATCACTGTTGTGAAAAAGTTTTTATCTTTTAAAAACCTACATCAAAACAGAACCCTTCAAGCATGCATGGTTCAACATACCTTCGTTTTCCAAATTGCGTTTCTTATCTGCTTCATGTTCTGCTTTTCTCTGGTATTCTGTATTCTTATGCTGAAGAAGAGCCTTCTCCCTTTCTAACTGTCTGACTGCAGACTCTACATTTTTCCTTGAAGTTATCTGGATATATTAAAAAGAGCAAAACAAATGACATTTATTACATACAGAATCTTGGCAAACTTAAAGTGATTAAAAGACTTTCCATCAAAATGGAAAAAAGACATCTGCCATCTGCTTCCTGCAAACACAGTGCATCACAACATTTGAAAACAAATGCTGTAACCTGCCTAGCAGCCATGAAACATCCATGTACTGTAAAATCTCAACAAGCACCTGTATGAACAACACATTATGTTGTACATGCCCTCTGTAGATATGATACATGTGCAGTAGGCATTAAGGTGCAAAGCTGTGCAAAATACAGTCCTTTTACTGACACAGTTAGAACACACTCTGAATACCAACAAATCAACTGGTGTTACTTGCCATAAATACAGAGCTACCAAAAATAATCTGCTAGTTCCTAAAGAAAAACTCAGATACAAATGCTGAAGTTTTAGTTTCAGTAATTAGTAACTACTGACTTACCTCTTCATCTAGCTCTTTCACTATCTTCTCTAAACGAGTATTAGCAGACCTGAAGGAATATGAAAAATATCTTTAAACCCTATTGACCACACACAAAAATAGGGTGTTTGGATGTGTTCAATTAATTTTTTGTAAGATATTCTATTTTCAGCAATCACATTAAACTTCTAGGGCTGGGAAAGTCACTCAAACAATAGAGACATTCTTATGGAAGTACAGAGATAAGCAGGCAGTGGGGGGAGGAGGTCAAATCATTGTGTAATAATATTTCTTTTCAAGCACAGCAAACACGTCAAAACAATCTCACCTGTATTTCTGTTCTAGTTCATCTTTGGCTTGCAATTCATTGCTGAGTTGTTCTTCTAACTTGCTTAGTTTTTTCTGAAACTGAGTAAAAAGGTCAAAAAAAGCATGGTCTTTAAGTAAGACTGTTATCACATGAAAATAGTATAAAGCAGCTTAATAACAAAAAAAGGGAAAGCATGGAAAATTAATGTAACCATTAATTGTGATTTTTTTAATTCATCAGCAGAAGGTTATTTCTCAGCAGAAGGTTATTTCATCTCTATTTCTCACCTTTACAAGTTATTAATCTTGATGATTTTTGTGATACAACATTTGCTGCATGCTGCTTTAAAGCTAACCATCACAAAATTACATACCACAAAGTGACAGTCATAAAATTTCTTTAGGCAAATAATGTTGCTTCTGGTCCTTTGCTGTATTCTTTCCCTGCTTAGAGTTGGAAGAGCTGAAGCACAGTTTTTGGGACAGTCTCTTCTATACATGATTTAAAAATTGAAATATGGGGTCTCCCCCCATATGACCAAACTGGACAATATTCAGAGAATATTACCAAATGTGCTCCATGACCTCACACAGAGAGGAATTCTTTCACAAGCAGAATATTAGAAACAGTTTTAAAGTTTGGGGATGTTTTGTTCTCCTTAATATAAAAAAGATATTATGAATCAAATACCTCCAAATTCAAAAAATTAGATTATAAAACATGAATTTTGGAATTGCTTCACATCTTCAGGCTTTCAAACATTTCTTTTTCTCCTTTATCCCTCTTCTACTCCCCACATAAAACATGCAAAATCATAAGATCCCCAAAACAGGGACACTGAAAAGACATCAAAACCTAGGGACTCATTGCTTGAGAAAATGAGAACAAAAAAAGTTGTCAGAAGTGAAATGCAAAATTTTAACAACTGTCACAATAGAAAGCAAATGTTATGAACGTGAAACTGTATTTTAAAGAATGGTTGCTTTCTTTTATTTAAAGTGAAACTAAAACTTTTATTCTATTCATCAATGACAGGAAGGAAAGATGTGGAGTCCAATAAACATTCACATTTAAATTTATGTTCTCCATTACATTACGCCTTTCCTTTTCAAAGTTTAACAATTAAGTAAGTTTTAACAAATGTTAACAAACTAGACTTGAATAATACAAATGGTTAAGTGGAGTAATGAAGTAAGCTAAATACATGAAAAATTAGTAGCATTCTCCTCTCATCCACATATTTAAATTCAGTTGGCAATCTTCAAAAGCTCAATAAACGTGCTTCACACACTCACTTCAACTGAGAGAAAGATTTATGCTCAAAAACATTCCTTTGTCACTATAGTTGACAACTTAATTTTCTAAACTCTGGATAAATGTGCCACAAATCACAGTGCACAGCCAAAAACTACAACCTTTCCAAGGGCGATGCTGTTTGGGGCAAACAGAGCCCTACACATTTGTTTTCAAACCAAATTGTAAATGCCAGAAGAATCAGAGAAAAATGTGTACTCATTCATCGTCACAGTACAGTACCTTTACATTCAAGTACAGCAGTTCATTCATAAGCTGGTACAATCACTTTACTGTTAATGGTTTGGTGAATAAACATCTACAGGATTTAATGATATATCATGTTCACACAAATTAAGTGGGAACTATTTGATTCCTTTCATAATTCAAATATATTTACCTCCTTGCTGTCCTCTAGATAGAACTCATCATTTTTATTGAGAAGCATTAAAAGAGTGCTCCCCAGAATATCTGATTCCTTGCTTAAAACTCTGCCTCCTCCTAACAGATCTAACAAAATTGGTTAATCGTTCCTTAACACTTACAGGAAAAAAAAAAGGCACTAACCTCATTTTTACTAGATTGCACCGATTCATTTTCTCTGCAAGACTGAGAGGAGTCACTTAGCAACCTGTCAAAAACAAAAACAAATCCCTCCTGCCCTTATTCAAGTTTTCAACAACTCTGGCAACCTCACCAATAAACACATTTCTATCGTTTTTCTCAAGCCTTATTTTCTCCTGATTCTCAGAATGAAGCCTGTTTTACTCCAGTGAATCAGAATGATTTGAGCCTTTTTAAAACTAAGACTAATGTTTAAGACATTTTCAAATCCAGATCAGCTTCTCATTTTTACTTAATACTCACAATTCGTTCACATCTATTCAGACACACTGAATATGATTAATCAATCAAAATAAAGGCAAGTAGATGGCAACTGATGTCCTAGCAAGCTATTACATTGCTTAAACATTTTTTCTGAACACCCAACAAAATTTTAGAGCTAAATTACAAACCTAGCAGTATTTTAAACCTACAACAGATTTTTAAAGACACTATATATTTTTATGCATATAAAAATACTATTTATTTCATAAGAATTATCAAGGTAATCACAACTGATATACTCTACTTAAACTCTGCATCTTCTGTCTTTACAATTGAACAGAAATGAATATAAAGCAATGAATAAATTAAGTATCTAGAGTGAAAAAGAAAGGATAGGCTATATGAGAAATTTGCAAGTATACTTCTAAAAATACATATTAAAGTCTCACTTACAAATTATCTCTATAGTAGGTAAATCCTATAAAAGGCAGCTGGTTTCCCACAAAGGCTTTAGGGATTGGAAAGGTTTCCACGTCTCCTTTGTCATCCTCAATGTCATCAAAATTACTGCTGTCTATATCACTGCTAAGCTCAGGAACAACAGGAGCAGCAGCTACAGAAAGGAGAGAAAAGATCAACTTAATTCCAAGATTCAGCCTATAAAGTAGGTTGTCCTGCTAGTTAAATGTGTATAAATCATGCAGCAGATCTCTAAATATTACTGTGAAGATTTTTTTTTTCCTAAATCTATTTTCACATTTACATGAGTTGCTTAATACATGGCATATCTTATGCACACAATGTACTTGCAAAGGTCATCACATTTTAGAATGGAACACTAAATATAATCACCATGTTAAGAAACTTCAGTAAATATATCTTTAGAAGTTATGATCAAAGTAGCTGTTGTTTTTTTTTCCCACAGCAATCAAGTTCACAATTTCTTAAACAAAAGGCAATGAAACCAACAAGCCCACTCTCAATGTAGCCTTAGCCACAGATTAAGAAAAAATTGAAACAAGGAAAAAAAGACAACCCATCAAAACAACAATAACAAAAGTCAGACAGAAATAGAACGCAATAAGCAGCCTTTCTGCTTAGATTTCTAAAACATGCAGTTTTGCTATTCAAAACAGAAAACTATAAATTAAAATAATAAATATGAGAATACTTTCAGAAAGAAGACATTTCTCCTACTAATTCCTGCTGATACAGGTTTAAGAATATAAATGATAAATAAGAAAGTTCAGGCAAAATTCTTGATAGCCAAGAAAATATTTACTTAGTTTATACAGCCTTAAAGTGCTTTTCATTTGTATTATTACTGTTAAGTAGCCTTATGCAAATATTGAATAAAAATATAACTTTCAAGCTAATCTACTTACTCTCTCGGATGTTGTCCCAATTCCACTGATCACTCTTAAAGAAAGGGTGATGCTTTATTTCTTCTACCCCATTTCTCCCAAGTCGCACGTCCCTGAACATAGCAATTAAGCCAAATTCACGTTAGGAAAAAGAGCACTTGTTTTGTTTTCACTATAACTTGCTCACACGCAGCAAAGAAGCTGTCAGTAAAGATTTTCTGTGTAAAACACATTAATGGTCAAATAAAAGAAAAGGAAAAAAAAAAAAAAAAAGGGAAAAACACACCAACCAATGATCCGTAGTTTCTCATATGAAAATGTATTTATACAAAAATATATAATATCCCCTCTCCCTGTGACTGCTTAAATGTCCAGAAGTTGGAGTCTGCCACGTGGGGAGAAAAGCAAGAAAGAGAGCACTAAGGCAAAAGCTCAGAAGAAACTCAAAAGAAAAACAAAACGCCAGCACCGTAGGGGAAGAAGAAACTGCCAAGGGCCGGTGTCTGCCAAACCACATGACAAACCTTAAGACTCAAGTGAGGGAAGGTCTAGCTTACTGCACAGAACAGTTATTCAAGGCTGAACTGAAATAAATATTTTAAGAATTCCATCCTCTGCCCCATAACTAACCCTGACACGTCTTTTGCTGATATTTACAATGAAGTAAATCTCAAGTTCAAAAAGAAACTTCTAGTTCGACCAAATGAAGTCTCTCTTAAAACTATCTGTGAGAAGAGAACTTAAAACCAATGCGTGCAACAGAACTAATAAATCATGGGGTGGATGCTTATTCCTTCTTGTCCCTCTAAGTGCCTCATCACTGGTCACGCACACAGAAAGAAGGCATCTGTTTCAAATAAACTGCTTGAGCGCTGCATTAAATATAAACAGGAAGACAAACACACGTAGGGGAAATAAACCTCGCTGCACTCACGTTATTCAATTCTGCTCCTGTTTTCTCTCTGCCCTGCAGCTATTGAGGGTTAGAAACACTTAAAATATATCTTAACTGAGCAGAACAATCCTCTCTGTGAATATAAAAACCATTATAAGGCAATTTATTCATTTACGATTGTTGTTGGTTTTTTTCCTACTGATCCCTCAATCCCTAAAAGCTGAACATTCGGCTGCAGTCAAACTGAGGTGGTGACACATCATCAACCTGGAGTTAAATTTGAACCTACACTGTCATTTTCTTTAATCGGAGAAATCTAAGGTAACCTCTGCTTTCTGGCACTAAAGAAAATTTAAGAGTTCAGGCCAAGAATGATCTTACACAGATGAATAACAATAAAAAATTAAAAAAAAACAACCTCAGCTCCATGAAGGGAGAACTTGATGATTTAATTATATCCAGGATAACATCCTTTTTCTCTATTAGCTATACTTGTCAGTTAGTAACACTAGTTAAAATAAAAAAGTTTGAACATCCTGTGAATTTTCCAACTAGGCAAATACGTGCTTGTTTTCATAAAAGTATGTTTTCATTTTTTATAAGCAGCGTCCGCTTCATCACAATTTGTCCCCTGCTTTTCAGAGCTCAAAAACTACTGCCAGCCTTACAGGTTTGCTGCTCTATTTCACACCAAGCCACAAATGGGAGGATTTCTTCAGCACAAAGTACATTGTATCAAGAGCTGCCAGAACACCTCCAAGAAATAAAATACCACACCTAGAAAAATACCCCGTAAGAAAATCCATGTGTGGATGATTTTGCAGAGAATTGAAGTTAGTTGGTGTAATGGAAATTGATTTTTACAGTGAACATGTGTTAGTACCATCTAAAACAGAAATAGAACCAAAACAACACATGCACATACCTGTCAGTTAAGAAGGCACAGATGAGGTTCTTTGCATGCTTAGAGATTTCTACATCATCTGGGAAATGTAATGAGTTCTTGTGATCCATAATTTTACTGTATGTCCCTACTAAGGAGTCTGCATAAAAAGGAGTATCACCTGAAAATAAAATGGTAAACTGACTGTGATTTTGAATAATGTTCAAGTAGTGTCAGATGAAGACAAAAAAGAGAAGAGGTACAAACTCTACAAGTAGTTTTGCCTAAGGCTGTTTTCTAATGAGGGAAACGGAGAGAATATGCAGGGTACAGAATAATATACACTACTAAAAATGTTCCTGTGACAAAACACCTCCATTACATACTGAATTACACATTACTGCCAAAAATTTTGCCCAGTGATTTGTATATTTTACCTGCGCAGTGTCACCGTTCTCTAATTCACACAGTGGATGACACTTATATGTAACCATCTCTTCATGCTCTGTCATGGGTGTAAGGGACTGAACCTCATTAACAACTTGCAGATGCACATTCCTTGGAAAGCCTCCACCACTGCTCTCCCACGAGCATTTCAGAGGCAGGCAGGCCAGCCCTGCCCCTGGAGCTGCCTGGGAAGCCTTCAGAGCACGTCAGGCACAACTAAGCCTGCACTCACTAATCTTGCTGACTGTTGAACTGTATCAGCTTGGGTGCCCATATTAGCATGGCCAGGGCTGAGATTTAAAGCCACCCTTCTCATCCAAAGTTCTGCAGCACAAAATTCAATGAATTTTAGTTTATTTGCTGACATAAACGTAGAAATTGCCAGCACATTGAATACGAGCCAAAAGTGTGTCCTTACAGACAGAAGGTCCAGCCACAGCCTGGGCTGCACTGGGCCCAGCACTGCCACCGGGAGAGGGGAGGGGTTGCCCTGCTTTGCTCTGCACTGTGCGGCCTCACCTCCAGCTCCACCTCACCTCCAGAGTTGGGCAGTATCAGATATTCCAAACCATCTCATAGAATCATAGAATCAAAAAGGTTGGAAAAGACCTCCAAATGTCCACCTACCACCAAATTTTTCCACACACACCTCCAGGGAGAGTGACTCAACCACCTCCCTAGGCAATCTCATTGGTGTCTGTTTCATAATAGCAATAGTATGTGGGAGTAGATCTGTCTTGAATAGCCTAATTATTTCTAGTTCAGTTACAAGAACCAGAAAAGCTATACAGTTATCTAAGAAAGCTGCATGTTTCTTCAAACACTGTCAAATGAATCTGACATAAGCCTCAAATACCGTGTTTGCAAACAAAGTCACTGAAGGAAATCACGTTGGCGCTGTTAGACGGGAAATGCAATGCAGATTGGAATAAGATGATGAATAACAAATAAACAAAAAAATTACAGGGCACAACTAAGCCCTGTAATTTTCAGTATAAAGGTGAAGCAGATTTCAGAAACATTTCAAAAAGACTGCGCAGATAGAAAATCATATACGCTTTTCAGAGGCAGAAAGAAGCTTGGATTAACTAAAAAAAAAAGAAAAAGCAAGAAAACTGGAAGACTTCACAAAAAGCCAAAAGATGGAATTCAGCAGGAGGAGTACAGTGTTAATCACATGTAGGATTCTGACAAGTCCAGAACAGAAACAAAACTGTTATTTCACACCCTTCTGAAAGTGTGAAAATCACAGAGTTAATGAAAGCAAAGATTCCAGTCTAGAATGTAAAGAAAAAAAATGACATTGAGTACTGAAGGAAAAAAAGTTGTAAAAATAGCATAGATTCAAATACTGTAACAAGATAGATAGCCTGTGGTAAGAAGAATGCAGGAAATTTATGAAATGTTAGAAATTTTTCAATACACAACTCCAAATTTTAGGAAAAAACTATACCAAATATAAGCTCCCTCAGCTTAGCCACTCATACTGAAAGTCTGGAATAACATCAAGATGACGCAGTGAAATGCAGAAGGATTTTTGTTCTAAACAAGTAGAGACTCCTTTATATAATTCAGCTCCTGCAAAAACTGTACCTCTCTACTTTCACTTCAAAAAATGTTTTTGTTACAGGAACCGTCCTATCAAATGCAGTTTAAAAAAACAAAAAACAACAAAAAACAAAACAAAACAAAAAAAACCAAAACCAAGCCTTGAGAAAACATTTCTGGGCATTTATGTCATAGAATCATAGAACTGCTTAGGTTGGAAAAAACCTTAAAGATCATCAACGCCAACTGCAACCCAACCATACTACCCTAACAACCCTCTGCTAAATCATGTCCCTGAGCAAGTGTCTAATGTTTTAATTACTGAAGAAATTCATTTATTGCTAAAATAGTTTATGAGACTATTAATTACCAAATATATATTTTATACATAAAAATGCTTTAATTCCCAAAGACCAGGAGCAGCATATATCAAAGCATCAGAGAGGCTGTGGATGCTCCATCCCTGGAGATGTTCAAGACCAGGTTGGATGCAGCCCTGGGCAGCTTGTTCTAGTAACAGATCTGGAGGCTGGTGGTCCTGACTGTGGCAATGGAGTTGGAACCTGATGATCCCTGGAGCCCCTTCCAACCCAAGCCATTCTGTGATTCTATGAAAGCATCTTTCAAGGCTCAGGATGCCAGAAACATCACATCTGCAATATTCCCAAAACATTCTGATTTGTATTTTGAATAATTACAGGCACAATTCCCTCTTTCTGTAATTGGGCTGTAATACTGATCTTCTGAGTATTTTAAGTTGCATATGACTCATGTCCTTAACTGATTATATTCTATGGTAGTTGCCATAGCAATCCAGTGTATTTTATTGGAAAATCCTGACACAAGCACAAAAAAAAGAATCAAGCCATACTTCCAGAGACATTTTGACCCATCAGTAACAATTTCTAGTACTGGGAGAGAAAGAAAGAGAAAACACAAAAACAAACAAAACAAAAGCAGTTCTATCCTTCCCACTCATTTCCCATCTCTGCGTCCCTAACAACTCGATACAGACCTGAAGATGGCATAGGCATTTACTGAGATTGTGAGGTAGTCAATCCAAGATAAAAAATATTCTAAAAATTAGTTTTAAGCTGAACCAAGTCAGAGAACTCATCGCTGTGCAAACACACAAACAGCTGTGACAGCATAAGAGAGACAGAAAGCCGAGGGAACAGGGATGAAACAACTGCAGTCAGAAGCTGTTAGATAATGATGTACAACCAGTCCCTGGTAGCAAAGCAAAGAGAGGCTCAGCACAGACTAAAACCACAACCTTTTTAGCAGAAGAAATTCTACTTACCAACTAGCATCTCAAAAAGGAAAACTCCTACAGACCACCAGTCACACTCCCGTCCATAATAACCATCACCCCCTTGTGATTTCAGAACTTCAGGGGATATGTAGTCGGGGGTTCCCACAGCCGTGTCACAGCGCACCATACCTGTCTGTGCAACAGCAACAATTCAAACAGCTCCGTTAAAACTGCTGCTCAGTCCTTACACAAAACTGCAGTTAGCCTATTAGTAGACCAGGAAAAAAAAAAAAAAAAAAAGAAAAATAATAATCCAAAATATTTGGTTTGAGGTACATGTTTGAAAGCTCTGACTTTTATTCCAGAAACAATATGAACTGAAATGACAAATCCTGATAACCCACTCTCCCATTTGTCTACACTAAACCATTTCTCTTTATAACAGCATTTCAAAAATGTGCATGTTTTGTAGTATTACTCTTGGTTTCAATATGAACAAATATGTTCCTTATCTCATTGAATTCATGGAAGAACTTCTGAATAACTTTTATTATTTGTGTTAGGTCCCCCATAGCACATACATAATATGCGTAATTCAAACAATGCTTCAAATTATAGGTAAATTCTTATAGTCACACCTTAAGTTGAAAGTAAAAGCTATTTTTAGTGAAGAACAAGGCTTAAGAAAAATAAAGTAAAATATAACTGATTTTTATTAATGTAGTGATTCTTTTATTAATCATTTATTAATGATGTGATTATTTATCCTCTTTGCTTCACACTCTGCAGGAGCTAAATGATGTAGAAACATCATCAGATATGCCAGCATGCAGCTTCAAACAGAGTCTTGTTCCCTTTAATGAAATTCACTGCTTTCATTCCAGAGAGACCAGATGGATGAATGAAATTAAATCCTAGATAAAGCCAAAGAAGTACCAAAAATACACTCAGCTCTGACTCTGCCATCTAAAGTAATGTCCAAGTTGCCTTTGAAAGTTCTCCATGCATTTTCCATCACCTTTGGCTGAATATTAATACAGAATATTGGTGGGAAAAACTGAAATGGAAATTCATATTTAAGGAAATAAAAAGAATCATTTTGCTTTTGGAACTGAATTTACATGTAAAAATTAGACATCCAATTACATTATTCTTTTCACGTAGAATATGAACTGCCAGAAACTTTTATTTATGTATTAAAACAGAATATTGGAAAGCCATGAACCGGTAGGCTAAAACTAAAGTGATGATTAAACACTGCAGAGACTTAAGCAGTACTGAAAATCTCTTCATTGTAAATGCTTATTTTCTTCTACAATGAAGAAGAAGCTAAAGATGAAGCTGAAACATAAGGGAAGTTTAACTTCTCAGTTACAGCAGTTGAACTTCTGTTTTCTATACGATGAACCAGACAAAACACATAGCTCAGACACGCTGAACTAAAATAATGAAACAACTCTTTTTAGAAGAGTTAATGCATTCTTTGGACAAAGAAGAGTATGATATTTTCATTAGATGATACCACAAATGACATTAACACTTTAACACCGGTAAATAAGCTAATGCCCCATGGCTCCAGAAATCTAAACCAAGAACACTCAAAAAAGGACCCAGCACACGACTAGAACAGCTAGTTGCTCATTCTGCTAGCAACAGCACTCAGTGAAGTAGGACTGTGACATCTCAATGCTAGTGATGGGAGAGCTTCATAAGCAGTGCATGCCTATGCCTTCCTTATCCAAATGCAAAACTACATCAAGAGAAAGCACTCTCAGTGCTTCTCTCAGTGAAGCCTGGCTGAAGCCACCCACATCCCTCTCCAGGTAAGAAACTTCATTAAACAGACGTCAGCAGAACAGTCCTGAAAGATTTCTCTGAAGACTGCAGCTTTAGTCACAAGAACCATGTACTTAGGCCAGCCTCATCTTCTTGACACACAAGCACTTAATAACATTCCATTTCCCACTCCTCTGTAATTAATACAGCTAAACAAGATCACCTTTTAATATTTCATACATGTTAATGTTTTATGAAGTCTTATGCAAACAAAGCAAAGTTGTGCCAAAGAAAAGCCAACCCTACCCAAGTCAGACAGCTGCTATACAGTGACAAGAAAGCTTGTCAATTATCTTACGGATGCTGAAGAATTCCAGGTAATAACCCTAACTTTTCAGGTAAGATGTCAAAGGACAACACAATTAAACAAAAATATTTCTACAGGCAAAAGGGCTCTGTGTGCTAATGTCAGTTTTCAATGGGCTGTATTTCTCTTAAGCATGTACAGTTGGCTGCTGTCTTAGTAAAACATTCCCACATTTCTGTCACTCTCATTCACACAATCATACTGTAAAAAACAAAAAACAAAACCTAGGTGTTGCCCTGTGAGTATTTTTAAGTACTGGATATTCTTACTACAGTAATCACACTAGCTTCTGTGATCTGGCATCAAAGCCAAGTAAACAGGGAAGTCCTCTTTGTGTGCTACATGACATCTTGGCATACTGTACATTCTGTGAGATGACTTCTGCATTCTCACTTCATCAGCTGAAGAGATCTGAAGGGTGCTGTTTTCTCTGGACAAACTCCTGTCAGCCTCTGATGCCTGAACAGCACACAGTACAGCAGTTCTTCTCTCACTAGTCTCAGGCTACTCTTTTACCTGAGGCTTTTCTCATCAGCTCAGATGATACACCAAGGTGTATCTTGGAACTCCATCTGATGGAAGTTCCTGCAGATACCTGGGAGATTTGAACAACTACAAAAGAAAAAGGTTGTCAAAGAGACAATATGTATTCACAGCTTAGGAAAATTTGGCTGTGAGGCTACTGCATTTCCCAGCATCTTACAGAACTGTAACTTTGCTGAAGGCAAAGCAGTTCTGGTTTCATCCTCTGGAAGACCTCAGGTACACTTGAATGACTCACTGTCTTGGAACAAGGCTAAGAAAGAGGCTTTAATTCCCTCATTAATATCTTATCAGCAAACAAGAACTGGAGAGTGCTGGTGCAGACATGTCAGAATAGCACAGATCAGGTGTTAATGCTACTCTCAGGTTTGACCACCACACAACCAACAGTGAACTGAAGCAAGAAGGATTAGTGCAGTCCTGGAGGAGCCTCAAGGAGAAAAAGGCATCCTGCTGAGCAGAGGATCAGACAGATGGCCTCCAACCTCAACCATTCTGAGACTCTGTGAAATAAACTGCATAAGAAGAGGAACGTGTTTAATCTTTCAGCTCAGCTATCTGAGGCAATGATCCCAAGTGCTAAATGGCTCCCCTTTTGCTCCTATTTCTTTGCAACAGATATCCTTTAAGCCTGTGCTTTCCTGAAAGTCCAGTTAGCACAAGCCACAGTTACATACAGACCTGACAGCATCAAGCAGTTTCTGTCCCTATAACACTTACAGCAGTCAGTCATGCTACTGTCTAGCTTATTACTTAAAGAAAACCTAAAAAATAGAGTCTGGTGAAACCTGCATTGGGATTCTTTCTAATTCCTACTAAAGCTTTGAGGCCAGCACCATCAATTACAGATAATCACCTTGTTATGGATTAAAAAAAACCAACAAACCATCGCAGCCAAGTTAAATAAATGGGCCAGTTCATTTTATGTTGGAAAACATCACTGAAAGACTAAACAATTTTTTCCACATACTAAGGAACATAAGGAATTCTGCTGCAAGTCTTTGGGCTGGCCTGGACAACAACTTAAGAGAACACTCATTTCAATTCCCCAGCAAGTATTAAAAAAAAAATCTTTCTTCCAAACTGTGTCTCTCACCAAACTGAAGCAGAGTTCTCCTCAGTCTCAAAAGCACGAGGAAGATATTCACAACTACTAAAAGAACTCCAAGTCAGAAAAAAATAAATAAGTGTTGGGTAAGCATATATTTTCTAGAAATCATCTTGCCAACATCAATATTATGTTTACACAGCTGGGATGTGTTCATGTTTTGTAAGAAGTAGCATGAGATTTGGAGACAGTCCAGCGCCTCTCAACTTCTAAAGTTTCCTGTATAAAATATTTTCACCATTCCACAGAGTCTGAGAAACATTCAGAACTTAAAATTTAGTCAATTAAAAATTAACTTTATTAGGAGATCACCCATTTGTTGATGATGCCTCATCTAAACTGGAGTTTAGACTCTTGCTATAGCAAGAGATACACAAGCAATCTCATGTTTACAACATGATCAACCACATTTTAAAATTCCAATATTTTAGAACTTAACAAACAAACAAAAAAAGCATCTTAGGTTCACCACTTCTAGGCTCCCTAAAGTACCACAAGCACTTTTTATAGTAGATCAACATGAATTTTTGAAACTTTTTTATTACCTCTTCTGATGAACATTAGATTCCCCTAAGACTCACAGTCTAATTGGCTGTGTATTGACAACAATAATTTAAAGATTAAATTAAGAGATCAAATACCACTTTTCACTTCTCTAGTTAAAGTAAATAATGTCCACTAAAATACAGGCAACTAAATAATGAAAGTGGAGGTAAACAATGTGTATGCCCTTAGAATAACAGTATCAATATCAGCACAACAGAGATCTCAATAAATAGCTGCATTTGTCAGCAGTAATATGTTGACATTTGAAAGAAAAAAAAAAGACAGCATTTCCAGATATAGTTGAATAGATATTAACTTAATGCAAGTGCAAATTAAATAGATTGCAGAGATTGTACTAAATGCAGCCTAAATAACACAGAAAGAATCTAACACGCTGAAGCAAATAAGCTTAAAAAGGATAAACAAAGAAACCCTTCAAAGGCCTGATAAATGATAGCATACAATCATATACAATTTATGAGAATCTGTTATAATTTCACAAGAAGAATATGCTGTGTAAATTGCACGATACTGTTTGTCATGGAAGATTTAAAAGCACAAATTACAAAGATAATCTCCTACAGGAACACAAGGTAGTAAATCTGTTAAAAATACAGTAGTTATGCAACCTCATTAGAAAATTGCATTTGGCTGCACATGATAAAATCTAGACAGTTAAAATATGACATTTTGACTAATAGCTAACAGAAATTTTAATCATTAGATCACATACCACTGCTGCCTTATTGTGACCTCATTTTAATGACCACTAGAGGATGCTATGAGAACAATTAGAAAAAAAAAAAATAGGGACTGTTCTTGCTATAAAATAATATCATTTATAGAAAACTGTCAGCTTATGAACTATTCCAAGGTTGCTAATATTGAAACTGGGAGCTGTCTAATAAGCTTTTCAGACATTTGGCAAAGAAATGAACCCCAGAAATTCTCAAACACATGCTTTCAAAAATGACAAAACATAGATTTATTTCCCCCTTCCATGTGCCAGAACAATTTATTACAGACAATGTTAAACTATTTAAAGTACTCCTGTATTTAAAGATAGGAGACAAGAAACAGCTTTCCAACCAAGTGGACCATTTGATAAGTATTCCTTTGGGTATTGTAACTCAAGTGAAAATATCCTTAGAATTACAGTCTCATAGATGATAAATTATTCAGTTGCATACTTACTTCATCCATTTTCATGCAAGTGCCAAAATCGGCCAGCTTCAGGTGCCCATGTTTATCTAATAGCATATTGTCAGGCTTCACATCTCTGTGTATCAAGCCCATGGAGTGAATCGCATCAAGAGCAAGAACAACTTCGGCTGTATAGAACTTGGCCCATTTCTCAGGCACATCATAATTGCTCATAAGGTTTACAAGATCTCCTCCTGGCATGTATTCCATTACCATATACAAGTATTTGTCATCTTGAAAGGCACAAAAAAGCTGCAAAATGAAAAAATAAATTAGGAAAAGGAGCAGTTACTTTTCCAAGACAGTAGGAGAAATAATAAAGTACCTGAGGTTTCATTAAACCTGAGTGTACATTTTCAGGACTGATGTAAAATAACTTTATTTTTTTATATTCAAATAATCTACGTTTCTAATTATGGCATAAACCTGAATTTTAATTGGAACTTCAGAAATCCTTACTTTCGTTTTACAGGAAATGAAAAAGATTTCCTGGTTACATCAGTAGTATGACCATCTAAATTGCTGTGTTTCTTGACATAAAAGATATCTCTACAACTGAAAATGCAAAATATTAAATCTGAGAAAGCAGGCATCTTGCAACAATCTTAACATAATTCAGTAGTAAATAGTATATTAGTCTGTTTTTTAATTTCACATACTACAAATTTTGATATAACATCTCCATATATATTTATGAAAACATAAGTTAATACTGACTTTGTCCTAAACTAACACACACATTGAAATGAGAAAAAAATTAAATATGGTTGCACAATCTAAAGGACTTAACAATGAAATTACAGTTGGATTGATATTGCAGCTGCTATACTTCTTACAGGCATGGCAGTGGCAGTAAGTTTAGCTTCTTTAAAATGTACTTTAGACTTTGAGTAGAGAAGTTTCAGAGGATTTCACTCAACAATGAAATATGGAAGACCACTGAAGGCAGGAAAATTGTTACAGAGATAGGACCTTTGGAGTAGAATTTGCTGTTCATTGGTGAAAGAAGTCTTCTGTTACAAACACACATTATTGCAAACACATACATATAACATTGTATTTGTTTTTGCAAATGGATAGTATATAAAACATATAACATAAACATCTATTTGATAATTAAAATCTGAATTAAAATCCAAAATAGTCTCTGTATTCCCAGACATAAAGGTGTTTATTTAACACAATGATAAATAGCAATCCTATGCCTTTATACAGCACTTTCAGTATCGGACCTCAGGGATTTTATAAAATCAAGGTTATTTAGGGCTCTGCTTTCACCTCTTCTTTTACATGAAGGAGCAGGGAAGCTGTGCCATTTGTCCCAGTTTCTATCTCAGAACAGGACTGACGTTTTCATAAAACCAGCTCCAGCCCCCCTGGACCAAAGTACTTATATATATCACACCAATACTCTTCACCACAGAAGGCACAATTGCCACCACATTTTAATTCATTTGACATGGACAGCCTGATCTAGTGCCTTGTTTAGCACATGGCAACTCTGCCCATGGCAGGGGGATTGAAACTAGATGATCTTTGCAGTCCCTTCCAACCCAAGCCATTCTGATTCTATCATTCTATCATCTTCTATATACACATACATATTTATATCATGCCTGCTACACTATCCCTTCGTAACTGTCATACATCTATTTTCAGTTGCACATTTAGTTGAACTGTAAAAACTACAAATACCTCCAAACATTTGTCAAAAAACTGCAGTAGTAAATTAGTCTGTTTTATTAAGTATTTCTACTGAAGACAGGTAAGAACACAGAATGTGCTCACAAGAACAGAATACCAACATGAAAAAAGTTACAAAACACTTCTTGCATATAAAAGGAATATTATGGAAAAAACATGGAAAGCCTAAAGCATGACTTTACTTTCCAGAACTACAGGAGCACAGTGAGTAAGTTTAAATGTTTTAATTATTTAACAAAATAAAATGGTAACATTTTTTCACTAAATATATGCTTTCACTATGCACTTTATTAATTGGTGTAATTTACCAAATATAACAAATTGCAATATTTAGCACTAATCCTTCCCAAAGGAATAATCCAATTTACAAACGTGATAATGAATACCATGAGATAGATGCAAGCAATGGTGTTTAAGAACAGTTGAGAAAGTCAACTCTGCATCAGATGGGGGATGTTACTTCTGAGCTGAGATGCAGTAACAGACCACTGAATAGAAGATGGTTTCAAGCAAAGCACTGATAACAATCTTCTGTCTTGCAGGAGACCAGAAGTGTGCACTCCTCCATCTACAATATTGCAGCTGAAAAGCCACTAACAACTTAAAGCATTCATAATACTGAATTCTAGTGATCAACTGACCATACCACCAGGAAAGACTGGAAATAGAGCTGACATTTGTTTCTACATTCATATACAGAATTCTTCTTAGCTAGAAAGTTACCTTACCTCCCTGTTATTCCAAACAGAATTACAGAATCATTTGATTTGGAAGGGACCCTTAAAGGTCATTCAGTCCAACTCCCCTGTAATCAGCAGGGACGTCTACAGCTAGATCATGTTTCTCAGAGCCCCTTCCAGCCTGACCTTGAATGTCTCCAGGGTTGGAGCATCCACCACCTCTCTGGGCAATTAGTGCCTGTGCTTCACCACCCTTACGTGGTTACTTCCGAATTCTGTTGTAATTCCATGGTATGATGTATTTGTAGCGACCAAAATGCAAGTTAATCTACCTTCTAAGATAACCAAACACAGAAAACCCATTGAAATTGCTGTAAACATATATCTTAAAGAAATTATGATCTGAATGTAAACCCATTATTTGAGCTTAGTTGTAAATTCAAGTCTAAGAAAGGTTTATGTCTTTATTACTATAATTATTTTACTGTCATGCATCTTCCTTACCTGAACCACCCATGGACTATTGGCAAAGGCCATGATATCTCTTTCTTCCCAGAAAAAGGCTGAATCTGATCTCTTGATCATTTCAAATTTACTAAGCAGCTTCATTGCATAAACCTTCTGTGTCATTTTATGGCGAACCTAGTGGTTGAAAAGAAGCAACAAACTTTAAGATGTCTTACAAAAAAAAAATCACATTTCTCCTATCTGCACACTACTTGCTGGGATGCAAGGTCTTCACGTCTTCATACATTCATATCAAGAACTTGAGATTTTCCAAACCTGAGAAGAAAAACCTGACAGCTGCTCCAAAAAACATAGCAGTGGTGCGACACGGATACCAAGTGAAGATATGCCACAGCTCAGCCAACTGCTGCAGCTGCTGTTCAACCTCAGAGAAGGAGTAGAGGCCACAGGAAGGACGTGCCACAGAGCAGCAGACACTTTTGTAGATAGATGTTTCACTGAAGGTGAACCAATGTATGACTGTATGTTCTTTGTCATTATAGCTATGACCACAAAAACGAGGGCTGTCTTCAGTAGCCTGCTTACTCAGATTGAAACTAATACAAAAAATCTTCAGAATCAGAAACACACCACCTTCCTATTAGGAGCAGGTCTGCTCTTTGCATTTTCTGAGTGAATATACCAACTTCAAGTCACTCAGTACTGGAAAACCAACACAATAATTATGTTTATAGTAAAAAAAGAAAATGTTTTTCTGTGCTCCATTCAGAAGTTTCATCACGTAAGAAGAAATAAAACTTAACTCTTTCGGAAAATCTCATCTGAATATGGACATGAAATGGAATCTTAAAACACAAGCAGTGATGTTAACGAAACACTAAATTAATACTACATACAAAGCAATTACTATTTTAACATTGTTGAGTATTCCTGGCATAAATCAAGGTGAGGACCACTCATCTGTGAGGTGTCTGAGTTTGCAGAAAAAAAAGATATTAACTCCTCCTCAAGTTTTTGCATGTTTTCTACTTCTGAAAAATCAATTAATTTTTTTGACATCAAAATCAAATGGTTAAGACCTTCTGCTGCATTTTTAGACCTATGGTTTAGTGAGATAAATCGTATCCTCCAAACTGTTACTTTGGTACAATGTCCAAGTTTAAATGCGTTACATGCAATAATGTTTATTAGGCTCTTTTTTTCCTGCATAGATCCAGGCATTTCAATTCATTATATCTGCAGTACAAAGCTTCACAGAAGCACCTATGCGGTCTACCACCATGGGAGCAGTAGCCTCCTGCTCATGGGGAGCTGTAAACATTCATGCTGCTGCTTGAGTCAACAGGAGTGATTTGTACAAACAAAAGAAACTAAGATTAAAAAAAAAAAAATCTCAGAAGGAGTGAAGACACGGATAGAAACAAGATTATCCATCAGGCTTATCCACTGTTCTCAATCTACTGCTTCCAAATCTGGAGCTTTTTCCTCTCAAGATACAGGTTAAGATTTTAAAATTTTTCTCTTAGCACCCTGTATAGTTTAACACTGGCCAACATCTTTTTCTATATAACTAGATCAAAAATCTTCCAACCAAACCTCAAAACAGCAGCACACTACCTACATGCTCCAAGCACATTAACAACTTGATAGTAAAAGTGTCTTGAAAGAAGATTTTGAAAACGACCTCCCTGCCATTTTCTAATCCTGGACAAATTTATTTACAAAGAATTGGTAGTACACCACAAACTGTGCTCCATATTAGGGCTTTTGTAATCCTGTTCAAAAACAGAAGAAGCACAAAGACAAGCAACCTCAATGAAAATATTCTTTAATTGCAAAAGCATTTTCTGTGAAACTGCACGTGTGTCTCTACTGCATTTTAGCAGTTTATGGTTCCTAACCATTGTGCAGTCTTGCCTGGGTGTGGTTAGTAAAGCTGCCTTCATTTACAAGAATAATTATCTCCAATTGCTCAGAAAAAAATTTCCAAAATTCAGCACAGCCTGAAGAAAGCACGTGCATAGGAGGAACAAAAGAAACTGGTCTTCTCTGTTCCCCTACCCCTTGTGTACACCTCTCCAAGGAAATACCATCAGGTTATTCTTTGGCTGAATTGTTTCTTGAAAATTTCACCATGGGTTTGTTCTGGCTGACTGTGCCCTGGGCATGCCTGGCAGGTGAACAGACCCACCAGTGATAGGAGTTCATGTATCACCAGCACAGCCCCTGAAGATGCTGGCCACTGGGTTCTTTCTCCAAAAGCTATATTTGTACATACACATATTGGCTCAAATAGCAGATTATTCATGTATTAAACTGTCATGATGCTTTAGTTTCTTCCAAGTGGTTAAATGAACTGCCAAATTTAAACTGTAGCTCACCACAGTACCTCTTAAAATAGGTAGGAAAATCCCTTCATGCCTTCAGCATAAAGTAACATGGCCTTGCTTAACTTATGAAAATGCATTAAGAAATAAGAATTTCCTTCTGCTCTGTTTCACCAGGGACAGACAAAACCATATCAATCTAAGACTTTCAGAAAACCAGTATGCAGAAAATACATTCATAATTTCTACTGTATTCACACTGGATGATAATCTGTAGGCAAAAAAGAAAACAACACAAAGCAACCATCAGATCACATACACAGTACTGACAATGGTACCAAATTTTTATCGTAGAAGGAAATGAAAATCCTAGGATAGAGTTGTGAAATGAACTCTCAGGCTCTGAAATAAGCACAGAAAAAAATCACTTATTAGAGCCATAAGAAGCGACAGATAAGGTATGAAAAACCTGTGGGTAGTAGACCATGACTGCTTTAACTGCACTACTACATCAACAGTGGCTGGGGAACAAAACCTCACATACAAAGCATTTCCTGGAAAAAAACCAAAGCAGCACCTGGCTGTGTGTGCTATGACAGTCACTGGTTTCCAACGCCAAGAAATCCCACTGTATGCAGACTGTCACCCAGCCCACCCTTTACTACCCAAATAGAAGGCGCTGGGTAGCTTTCAGTTCCAGCATTCAACCATGTCAGTCTGCTGTCACTGCAGCATACAGGGCTGTGTAACAAGACCTGAGCAAAGGAAACAGTAAGAAGTTTCAGTTTCAAACCAAGAGGATTTTTCCTAAAGTAAAAGCAGAAGAGGCACTCGGGATGTGCTTTCATTAATTAATGCTTCTGCATAAACCAGAAGCAACATATATAGCACCATAATTCAATTTTTATGTCTGCTCTAGACACCAAGCCCTTTTATTCATGCCACTACGTAAGAGAAGTGATCTGGCTGCAGACAGGAAATTCTTAGCAAAGGAGAAGGCAAGCATAGAATTTAATGCTTCTGAGTTTTCAAAATGCCATACTGGAGCTAAAAATTAGAGGAAAAAAAAAGACAAGAAGGAAGTCATAGCTGAGTATTCTACACTACATGTTAGCATGCTCATTCTTTTGTCTTGTGTTTAAATATTACAAATACTTATAAACAATTGTGCTACATAAATCTATTCACAATGGCACATACTGATAACATGATATTCATGAATTTTACTCACGTAGTCAAACATGTTTTATTTATGGTCCTTTCTGTGTTTAGCCCCCAGTGAAGCACATTTCTATTCTGATCACAGAATGTGTTGAAAAATATTTTGATTACTGCAAATCTATCATCTGCAACTGTGGTGTTAACATTACAAATGGAGTAGAAATAGATATAGCTTAACTCAATAGCTTGAACTTGTATCATACCTTGTGAGGCAAAAAATCTAGGTATGTATGCTCTCATCACCAGCTAATATTAGTTCAGATCGACAGTGGTATTTATTAACCCATTGGTTTTTAGCTGTAAGACATTACAGTATCATTGTTTCTACTTATACTTGTTACATTCCAGAAAGAGAATGTTCTCTCAAGCTGGCATAAAGCACAGAAGAGCTCTATATGAACAGAAATTTTGGTCCAGTGTTACTCATTTTTAGCTTTTTTATTCTAGGGGACAACTTAAAGTAAACAGAATTAAAAGCAAATCCCTCTGACCAAGTTCCTGTGCATTTCAACATTCCACTGTAATGATTAACCAAATGAGAACTGAAGACTGTCTTCAGATTACTCCAGGTACCTGGCTGCAGGACTCACTGCTGTGAACAATCACCTCTGCTTTAGAACTTGACAAAGGTATTTGTGACACGGTGCAGTAATAGGAAAAAAAAAATAAAGTTTTCATTCCAAACTGTAACAAATTAAGAATTTCTATTTAAAGCTAAATGTTATCAAGCAAATTAAACAAACAAACAAGCAAGCAAGCAAACAATTCAATGATTTGCAAAAAAAACAAACCAAAAAAAAACAAACAAACAAAAAAAACAACCCCCCCAAAACCCTTAAGTGCTCACAAATTTATATAAGGAAACCAAAAAGAAAAAGCTAACTTCTGTTGTTGGTATTCTCCATTTCTCATTTCCCTCCCTCCCCAGTAGATGGAAGAGGAACTCCAGTCCTTACAATATGATTTTTTTTCTGATTCCTGCTCAAGCACATGGTAAAGGAACATCTCAAAAGCATCTCTAATAGATGCTCTCTTTAGAAGAGCTACACGTGGAAAAATATAATGAAAAAAGTCTAAGAAAATAGTTTAAATGAAACATTTGATAATCGCTGTAAAGACAGAGAGGCCTAAGAGCAGACTGCTTTGTTACAAAGCTCCCTGCAGCCACTTTTTCTCAAGTACACAGGGTTCTGCTGACAGTTTTGTTTTTCTTTTTAATCTCTTGCCAGTGAAGATATAAAAGCAATACACCCATTAATTCTTTAAAGTCTTTATTGAAAACATCATCTCTGGAAATATCCCTCTTTATCTCCCATGAATTCTTCTGGATAGAAACAAAGAGCAGCTGACCCAGAAAGAAACAGGGAAGAGGGAGATACATTCCCGTTACCACACTTGGATGAAGACAGCTTAAAAAACCAAAATACATTTATAAAACCTCTGATTGAATTTTGTTAACTGCCACATATGAATCAAATCTAAACTTGCATTTATCCATGAGGCACAGAAATAGTGTTAGGCTAACCACAGCCTTCGCTTACTCCAATTTTCATTTTTCCTTGAAAAACACATTACACAGCCAGGAAGAGTAAGCAAAGAAAAGTTTTACCTTTTTACATTGTATTAAATGGTAACCAGGGATCCACTACTTAATTCATCTAATACACCAGGACTTTGCAACTATTTTGAGACAAAAATATTGCTTTACTGGTAAAGAATGATCAAGACTACATCTGTTTAAGGTAGCAACTTTCATCAAGTCACTGCTGCAAGGTACACAAGAAATAAGTAATAACTACAAAAAAAATTTAAAAGCCTGCTTTTTTTTCTCCCCCATTTCCATCCAATTTCACCAATGCTAGGAGAGAATATACAAATAATTTTATAAAAGGCTAATAAATTTATGGCAATTATACATGGTGCACATCGTACAAGCTCTTCAGATACAAGAACTTGCAACATTCCTCAACAAAGCTCCAGAGCACTGCTCTCCAAAAATGTTGTACATTCCAAGGTGGTATGATTTTCCCTGCTTCCTAACACAAAGCTAGCACTCAGCAGGAAAATATCAGTGACATGCCAAAAAACTTCTGCAAATAAAAATTTTAGATACCTTGTGGCAACAAATTAACCAGCTTCAAGTCCTGCAAATTAGCAGGAAGAGTAAAACAACAGTTTTTGCTGCACAATTAGCTTGTTCTTTAATTGGATGATTTCTGACATTCTTATATGTTAATGCTTGTGACCAGGAAAAAAAAAAAAAAAAAAAGTTGTGAACTACCTGTTCCATTTTGCTGAAAGTACAGGAAAATATTTTCCAAGTCCTTCCCATCCAATCTATTACATTTTAAACTTACTTATTGCTTACTACGCATAGAAATGACTCAGGATACAACAAAAATGTTTTCAACTTTAACGTTCTCTGTAAGAATGCATTTTTAGATCTAAAGCATGCAAGAGTGAAAAGGGTTTTACTACAGCCATAAACCTGTTAATCAATAAATGATCACTTTCTTACCAGCTGCACTTCTCCAAAAGCCCCTCTTCCAATCACCTTAACAACATCATAGTCTTCAGCTTTCATTTGTAAAGCTCGTATTTTTTCCACAATCTTCTCATCTGAAACAAAAGAAATAAAAGGTGTGATAATGCATGTATTAACAAAATACACTCATTTTCTGTAATATCTGCCATCTAGATTCAAGAAAGGCATTTTTATCTAATGTTTATAGCCTTCTTGGCAACCTCTGAAATTTATAGTCACCATAAAAAAAAGTTCCTTTCAATATCATTTGGCAAACAATAAACTGTAACAATTGAAATTTCTTTCAGATTTTGCCAGTTCTCATTCTACACCTCTTATTATCAGAAACAGCTTCCAGAAAGACCCTGGTAATGGCAAGAACCAGAGAATTTTCAGACGTTCATTCATTGACGTTCACTGTGCTGCCACAATCAATTGACACTCCATCAACAATACAGAAGTGTGAAGTGTCAGCTGCATTCATAAGCACTGCAGGTGCAACCTGCTCCTGCACAGCTGGAGGGTTCAACAACAGTCAAATCATGAGGAACACAACTCAAGAACCTCCACGTTCAACTTCATGCTACATCGCGCAAGGATTTCAGATCAATGTATTCATTCCATATGACATTAAAATTCACTTTTAGTGCGTTGATGTACCTTCTGGTCATCCTGAAGTGCTTTCTGTAGTGCTCACTGCATGTGTAGTTCTGTACTTTTCAAAATTAGATCTACAATGTTATGGTCAAGGATCCTATGGTGCAATTTTCTTCAGATAAGCTCTCCCTTTTTTTTTTTGTTTTTTTTTGTTTTTTTTGAGGGAGTTAGGGGAATCTGCAAAGAAAGCCAATGAAATTCTGACCCCTGACAAATTCCAAGAACGTGCAAGGTCCAAGACTTTAATTTCATAAATGCAGCATGCTAGTGAATGCATTCCTGGCTAAACACATTTAAAAAATCCATTCTTATTGCAAGAACAAACAATAATGGAAGCAATGAATGGAATCCACAATACTGGAGGTAAGCTGTCTTGGAGTGCCAAGTCTTGATGCTTCCCCCCATGAATATTTATAGGAAGAACATAAGGGAAAGATGGTTGGTTGGCTTGATCAAGACCCCTACCAGCAGAAAACATTAAATTGTACGAAGAGCTGTGGATGCTTACATTCAGAGTGGAGTAGATACACAGATTGTGAGACTCCTGCTTAGGGTCAATAACTATGGAATTTGATCCTAAGAAAGGAATTAAAAGGGACTTCAGACTTAATGGGGGAAGAAGGCATGAGAGAGACAATTAATTCTGTATGACTTTAAGATGACACTGTCAGTGGTAAGTTAATGATAATGAATATCTGGTAAATAGCTTAACCATTTCTACATACTCTCGAAGGGCATCCTGGAAGGATACAAGCAATCCAGGAGAATCCTGACTATCAAGATGATTTATTTTAATCCAAGCAAGCAACTAATCCAATTGGGGAGACACTCAAACATGTTGCTCACAAACAATGAAGAATTGGTGAGGGATGACAAAAATCAATGTCAGCAAGCGTGAGTTGGTGGAATTTAAGATCCTGAGAAAACTGAGGAGGGCAAGCTGCAGACCCTGGACTTCAGGAGAACAGACTACAGTTTGTTCAGAGGGTTTACAAGCAGGATCCTGTGGGAAGTTGCTGTGGAGGGTAGAAGAGTGGGTTGATCTTTGAAGATGACGTGTTCAGAGCATAAGAACAGTCTGTTCTAGTTAGCTAGAAATCAAGCAGGCATGGCAGAGAGCCAGACAGGCTGAATGGGTAACCCCTGCCTCAACTCAAGCACAAAAAGCAAAGGTTTGAAATGCACAAACAGGACTAGGCTACCCAATATCCAGCAGGAATGTCCCAGACATGCAAGGGCAGAACTGGGAAAGCAAAGATGTGAGTTGAAACTAACCAGAGTTATGAAGGGGAATAAGCTTTAATACAGTAATAAAACAAAGAATGAGGCAAACGTGGGCCCACCACTCTCAACAGCACAGTGGATTTAATGGTAAAGATCACAGAGATCAAGGTAACCATGTCTTTTTTGCTTCTGAATTTATCGACAAGGTTCATAGGCCACCCAGCTCCCTGAAGCAGAATGTGGGAAAGCAAAGCAAGCAGCAAACTTGACACATCCTCTACAGTGGGACAAGAGAGGATACATTTGAGGGTGCTGAAGGAGCCAATCAACACTGTTAGCCAGCTGCTTGCCTTCTCTGAAAGGTCGATGTAACTGGGGGAGACTCCTGATGACTGAGTAAAGGTCAAGCATCATGTCTGTTTTGAAATCAGAGCAAAAAGGACAATCCTGAAAGGCTGGAATCACAGTCTAACCCCATTCCCCCAAGAGGATGGAGCAAATCCTTCTGGAAGTCAATTTCCAAAAACACGATGGATAAGAAAGAACAGGAATGGCCAAGATGGATCTACTAAGAATTAAACCATGTTTGATCAATATGATTGCTTTCCATGATAAGAAGGAAAAGCAGTACACATTTCCTTTTCTTGACTGTGGCATGGCTTTCAACACAGCATCTCAATGAACCTTTGTAGCCAAACTGGGGTGACATGGGAATGCATGGAGAAATTACAAGATGGGTGGAAATTCAACAGAGGTCAGTGGTTCACTAATCCAACCAGTTGCCAGTTACAAATGGCACAACTTCAGGATTGATATCAATCACTGTGTTTTTACTAATGGCCCAGAAGATATTATCGGTTTCCTCTTTGCACATTCATTGATAAGATGGTAAGGAGCACCTGAAATATGGGAGGGCAGGGTTGCTCTTAAGAGGGAACTGGAAAGGCAGAGATCAACAAAGCCAAATTCAGGGCCTTGCATCTGGGATAGAACACCATACAGTAGTACGTGCTCAAAGCCACCAAACAGAAAATACCTTAAGAAGGAGGACCTGAGAGCTCTAATGGACAACAAGATGAACACATAAACAAGCATTAAACCTCTGCAATAACTGCATCCCAGGCTGTTTTGGTAAACACACAGCCAGTAGGTCAAGGGCTGTGATTCTTCACCTCTTTGTTACTTATGAGACCGTATCTAAAATGTTGTATATAGTTTTGGGCTCCTCAGTGCAATGAAAATCCTAAAATACTCCTTGGCCGATGGAAGGCCACCAAGATGCCTGGAAGGTGGGACCACACAATGTACTCCGAGATGATGACAGAGTAGGGAAAGAATCCCCAGAAAGACAGTGGTCACCACAGGTGCAGACTGTCCAGTGGAGCTGCAGAAACTCCATCCTTGGAAATTTTAAAATTCAACAGCACAAGGCCCTGAACAACCTGATTTAACACCTGAAGTGCCTTTGAGAAAAGAGTTGGACCATTTGACCTCGAGAGGTCCTTCCCAATTTAAACCACTCTAAGATCCCAGGATTCTGCCAGCTTTCGCTGCTGCTGAACACACATCAGCAACTAAAAATTTCTTCTTCTGGGGAAAAGAGTAGGTATAAAGGGATAGAGAAGATAAATAGTAATATTTAAAAACTTCAGAATAATCAGGAAAAGAATCTATCCATAGAGCTGTAAAGATAAAGGCAATTAAAAATCTTACAACTTGAGAAATGTGCTATATTTTGTGTACCAGTAAGACTGAGCAGAAATCCAGACTGCAAACAGAAAAAGAAGTTGAGAGAATGTTTTCTATAGCAGATTGTGAAAGCTTGACGTATAGGACAGCAACAGTGGTTCTCTCATACCAAGTTTATTATTTTGTTCATAATATGAACAAATTTTGCAATTTATGAAGAAAAGACTGTGCTTAGAAGCATACTTAAATAGAAATCAGAAGCTTTGGCACACAATAAGGAGGATCATCGCCAATTTACAGGAAGCAGCAGTAGAGGAGTATCAGCATATTTCAATTTGAAGAGAATGTGCTGTTCTCTGATATCTCTGAACACAGAACATCACATCTCATGAGGGAAAGAAATCACATGAATTTATTTTCAGATGTTTCTGTGATGTTTCAAGTGTTTTGAGATGTGTGAAATGAAATGGCACAGATTTAAATACCTAAGGGTAGGGTACAGTCATACGTAACTCCATTATTGGTCAGAACCTCAGGAAATTGCACTCAAAATATAATGCAAACATTATGAACAATTCTAATACAGTCCGAGAGAAACTGTTGAAACATCAGACATTGTAGCCAAGCGTGTATTATGTATATTAAATATACATTATCTGTAAATATATATAATGTATGTGTATGTCAACAAATGAGATGGCAACTAGGAATTAATACTTTTATCATTGCTGCGTAACATTAAGATAGTCCACTAAGATTTAATGATCTTAAAAAAATAAAAACCATTAATAACAAAAATCTACAGACACATATTGTAGAGTAGTTACATAGGTGAACTTTCTATTTTCTCATAAAGTTTAACAGATAGGGAACGAATAAAGCATGGAACTAACTAATTTGAAGCAAAAAATAGGCTGCAAGAAGGCAAGTTCAGAAAAACCCTGAAGCAATGCCATATTTGCAGCACGCTGAATCATGATTGTGTTCATGTATCACATAACATGATCTAACTCAAGGTACGGGAGACTTTTCCAACACTATACTTTTGCTATTGGATTGAATTTTCAGGTTACATGAATCTCAGTTTGCGTGCACAGATACCAGAGAGCTATCTTACACTTTCATGAATTTGCAACAACAGAAACCCAGCAAAAAATACCAAGTTAAAATGGAGACAGTAAGATGGGCTGACTGCCTAGCCTCAAAATACAACTGAATTGTATAAATTCTTGTGACGTTTGAGATAAAATTCCTAAAAAATGAAAATATCACCACCTATGATTCAGGTTTCTTTTTAACAAAGAAAGGAACGCTAGGTAGCAGAAGTGTTGAAAGACAGCTTTTGATTTACTACTTTAAAATGGCACTATAACCTTTAAACAAATGAAGCTTCACTTTCTGAAAGGGCAGAGTGCCTGGATCAGTCACTGACTGCAGCTGGCTGCAAGAATGCAGCTGAATGTTACTAGTGAAAATGGAATAAATACCTAACTAGAAGCACAAAATGGGGTAGCAGGGCAAGCTT